AGCAGGAAACTCTGCAAATTTCTTTAGTAGTTTAAATGCTGATCCTTCACTGGGATCCATTATTGCAGTCTGTGTACGTGCATTTGTGTTAGCAGGTTTTAATAAAAGATATAGACTTTGTGATTGTTTTTGTGGACTGACTAAATTAGATGCTGTTTTGCTAAGGGGAGTTTTTAAAAGGCGGGGAAAAGTTGCTATGTCTGAGACGAATGAAAGTTTGTTTATCCCCCCACTCCTTAAATTAAGATGTCTTTAATCTGTTTGCTTGGTTATGAGCTTCTATAAAAGCCACGCCTACTTTTACATAAGGGTAGGGGTCATAGGGAAGGAGGTGGATTTCAGGTATAATAGTAAGTTATAACATGCCTGGAAATGAGCAGCTATCCCCTTAAACTCAATAATAATAGTTTTCTATTGCATCTTAACCAGCTTTTTCATTTTAGAGCAGAAGGAAAAATATTTTTTTCTTTCAGTACAGTAACATTTTAGTAAAGCTTACATCTGCTAAAAGCACTTTTGAAGTCATCTCTATTCCTCCTGATATGCATTACCTTTTCTAGACTATCTTGCTCCTTAAATGCAAAATTTCTTTCCCGATCTCTGCTTTTTCACTAAAATGTACTACCTTTAAAATACTGCAGCAAAGCAGCAAGCTCTGTTACTTTTGCATGTGCTAATCAGTAGTGTTAGTAGCATCTCGATTCCCGCATAAGAGTGTTACTATGTCTGATTGTCCAGATAAACTAGTAACAATTTAAGAGATGCAACTATAGTTATGCAGTTTTATGTACTCTTTCTCCAGCACAATTACACTCAAAATAACAAACATCTGTGTCTCTTGCCTTTTTGTTACAGACTGAAAAATATCCTGTCCAAGACACAGGAGTACCTAAAGGTAAGTACTGTGAATTCTGTCTATTCAGGTGTCATAGATCTGTGTTGTTACGTGCAATAAAACCATTGGTGTTATCCAACAGATTGAAATACTCTTACTTTTTCCTAGATGCTTACGTTTTAAATGTAGTGTCGTCTTCCGTATTTTTAAGGTCAGTTTGGTGTGTATATATATAGCTTTCAAAATTTCCTTCCAAAGTTTAGTTTTGATCTAAAAGTCAGTCTCAAACTGCAGATCTTGGTTCTCAATCTGGAAAGAAAATACAGTGGTGCCATCAAAAACCAGTGTTCAGAGAACAGATGGTAGAGATGTGATAATGTTAGAAGGTGGCTTTGAAGAGATAACCAGTGCCTTGAGGTTATCAGAAATATAATCCAGAAATACCTTCCAGGTCTTTTGCCTCTGATTGCATTCTCAGCCCTATAACCAACTCACTCTTCATGCCATCTTTTACCTTCAGCAGGTATTAATACCATCTACTTGGGAACCTAATATAGGTCCACTCTGCACAAGTTCCTGCCTCTCCTCACTGAAAATAGAGCGAGGGAGTGCAGGTTCTGTATTGCGTGAAGTCGAATACTTGGATTACACAGTGTGAATATCCCCTTCTATGGTTTCCTTGGCATGTGGAGTGGGATTTTCTGTCGTTCCAGGCTTCACCACTGGCTTTTGTCCAGGGAATGCACTGGCAGGGGTTCAGCTGAGAAGTGCCCTGCAGGTAGTGTATTCTGCATCCTGTGTTGCACAGCAGTGGGGACAGACACAGGAAACTATGCAGAAGTTAGTCACAATGGAAACTTTTGCTAAGGACTGTGAACAATATACCACTGGGGTTAAAGAAAGGTTAGAGACTGTTTTGGGGGCTCAAGGGTGCCAGCCAGAGGAAATGAGCATCTTCTCAGAAGTGCTGCTCAGTAGGAAAGGACAACATGGGATGAAAACTACTTTGAAATCATAAACTACTTTCTATTTATTCGCAGTCAGATGGTTTGTTCCTTCAAAATTGATTATTAACACTAAAGCAATTTCTCTGTAACATTCTTTTCCATGTCCTGTTTTTTATTTCACCTGTGACATCAGGTGCCCCTCAAAATTAATTAGATAAATTCCTAAATTTCAAATTTGTTAAAGTTGTTTGAAATCTGAGATTGCATGTTTTAAAATGCATTTAATTTAAAAATGAAAGCTGAGAGGAAGTAGAAATTTCAGCAGTTTCTGTAGAAAGGAAATGAACTTAGTTTATTTTTAATTTTAGTTTCTGCTTCGTCTTGCTAAGTGTAAAAAGATATAAGTACTAATATAGCTTGACATCTCCCCTTTGGAGCTGAAAGTGGTACGAATACCTCTTAATATTATGTTCATTTCTGTGATTTACATTTTTTTCTAAGAATGACTTTTCATAACTATTTCTATAAAAATACAGACTTAGAAATATGAATCTGTGAGCTAAAAAGTGTTACAGATGTGCAGGTCTGATTCTGTGTAACACAAAACTATGTTTGCTTCAGACATAATGTTTGAATAGACAGTACATTGGCTGGGGGTGGGGTGGGAGCTCTTTTGTTGCTTTTATAGGTCAATTAATTAATGGACCATTTCAGGGCCATAATTTATTAAAGTTCTTAGCACCCTCTACCAATTATGAATTAAAGGTGAGTTAAGGGAACTTCTCATCTTGCAGGACTAGGCTTAATATTTACATCATGTTGTGATTATAATTCTACCTCCACTCAGACACAGAACAAATTTCACACATAATGTTTCCACACAAATGAAGTGGAATTTTGATGCCCATACTCTGCATTTTCAGCCAGACTTTTTTGGATTTTTGTTGTTGTTGTTGTTGTCTCTGAACCTACAGTCATAAAGAATAAAGATGATCTGTATTAAGCATTTGCCGTGCTGGGGGTGGAATATGATTTGGCTTTAAGTTTCAACAGTCTTATAAAAGCAGAAAAAGAGGAAAATCACAATTTTGTTTTTTTTTTTTTTTCTTGCAAGTGTAAGGATGAATTATTCGATTCAGATCAGTTTCTTGAGTGAGATAAAGAAATATATCTTCTTTCTGTTATCTGTCGATTCATAAAGATAATAGCTGTTCTTTAATGAGATCTTACCACTAAACAAACAGCAAATGGAAATGTATCAGTGCTACAAACATAGTCACCACCATGGAGAGTTCTTGTGTGTAAAAACGTGTAGAATATAACCTCTTTTAAGCTCGTGTTAATGGTTAGTCAGTACTTGGCCCAGGGAATTATGCAAATGGTTTGATGATGAGGACCTTATTAATCACGCAGAGTGAAATTTGTCTGTTTGCACAAGGTTCACAAAGGACTTGTGCATCCGTTGTACCCCATTTTGAGGGCTGAAGCGAAGCTTGAAAGGTAAATAGAGTTTGTGCTGTACTGGAGAATGTTGGGCTTTTCAGTATACTCCCAGGGCAGTTGATAAACACAGTTTGAAATGGATTATTTCAGTGCTGCAGAAAACTCCTGTGTAGTAGAGATAAGTAGGATAAGCCTAATTTGCAAACGGGCAGAATAAAAGGTAAATATTTGCGTAGCACATATTTCAGCAGCTATCATTGTGTGATGAGAAAAGCAAAGAAAAAAGGGGATCATATGGACTTGCGACAGTCATCTTCAGCCTACTTTGATGTATTAGTTTGATTAATATCCTCTGGTCAGCTTTCTGAAAATAGAACATGACTCTTGCTTCAAAAATAGTGTGGTGTTTGTTTAAAAAACAATTGCTACACTAATATCTGATCTCTGCAAGGATTATTTTTCTTTGCACAGTCATGCTCTGTATGATTGTTGTAGTCTCTGCCAATTTAACATTTTGGGCTTTTAATCCAGCATTTCCAAGTGAGTGATCATGATATAGAGTTAAATTTTGTATGCTAGACACCTATAATTTCTATTTGATAGTCTTACTATTTGAATTTGTATTTGAGTGGAAGACCAGTGTTTCACAGTCTTTGTCTTAGATGAGGAATACCTAACAGATCAAGTTACATTGGAAATTGCATCTGTGAACATCAAGACCCTTACGTCAGATTCTGGCCTAATCCAACAGGTAAGAAAAATGGTACCTGAATGTGAACTAAGTTATTGCTATTGATTAAATAAGTATGTTAACAAAGAAATATATTTTCAGACTATAACTGGAGAGCATGGAATTACTCAGTAAAACAGACCAGAAATAGGCTCTGTTTTCAAGAGTTCAATGAAGTGAGCTTTTGTGGAGAAGAGCAAAAGAAAGGTTATTTAATCATTAACATGTACTTTGTATCTTAAATAGGTTTTGATTAGTGTGTAGATGCTCTGAGGAAGCACTGACAAAGAGTTAAGGCTTTGTCATGCATGCTCTCCCTCTTCCCTGCTGAAAATAGAGCCAGGGCAGAGAATAAATGAAGAAGTAAGGAATCCTACATTTTGGACTCTTTGTGTTTTGCCCTCAGGGAGGCATTTGACTGTTCTGCTTTAACTTTGGGACACTGCTCTTCCCATAGTGGAAACACTCTCCACTGTTTGTGAAATCTTACATTGCCATAGGCTGGGCAATGCTGAGTGACCCCCATGCTCCATGGTTACCATCTTTCAAGAATGTTGTTTGCTGAATTTCAAATTGATTCTCTTTGGGTTGAGCAGAAAACTTGGAGAAGAGAAATGAATGAGCATTTTCCAGCAAGACGAAGAATTAGGAGTTCCTTATGCCAGTGTCCCAGCTGAATTTCATCAAAAACAAACATGAGTTTGGTATGCATTTCGCAGATGGTGGAGGTAACAGTCTCATTCCCATCATCAAGAAGAGAGCATTTATTGCCAGCTTAGAATCACTATAAAGATATTTCCGTGTACTAGGGTGTGAATGGTTCTGTAGAGCTGAAAAACTTTCTGCTTATCTTCAGACTGTGCCTAGGTTTATGGCTTTGATTAGACCTGTAGAGGTTGATTGGATTTTAGTTGTGGGCAAAAAATATTCTTGCTTAATACCTTAATTTCATGGGCAGCAGCACTACATTGTCTTATTGCAATTATATTACAAGAAAATGATCTTGAATAAACCTGAGTGCATCTGACTTGATAAAAGTAGATAATAACTGATCAGTAAAAATATGAATTTTGAAAACAGATGTATAGCACCGGTAAGTATCCCTGTTTTTCTCTGTACTTTTTGCAGTACTAGCCACTCGTTATTTTTTATCACAAGACATGAGTATAATGACATCTCTTAAAGGCATTTAGGTATTAGCTTGCACAATACGGTTTGAACTTCCATGAATTCATAAAGTCTGGGAAACGTTACTAAAGCTCAGGACAGCAACTTAGCTATTGCAAACTAAGTGAACAGTATCCACTTTTTTTTTTTCCTTTGGTTTTTATTTGCTTGCTTGTTTCTTTTGAAACAGATCTCTGGGGAGGCTGAGCTGTCATGGGCAGCTCCTCATTCTCCCAATGAGTTACCCTTCTGGGGTTTGCTCTTCAGGGCTCAGTAATAATGTTCTGCCTTAAATTTTTAAGGAATTTGTAGGAATGGAGACAATGACTATAATCAGGATCTCCAGATTTAATTTTTCTTAAACTTTGAGTGCTCACATGTTGCCATGAAGGCCAAGTTCATGTTTAAAAAGCTCTGTCCAGAGAAAGTTTATGTGGTGCCAGTGGAAAAGTAAACTACTAGAAGATAATGGCAAGAATTATTCTGTTGCAAGTGGCATGTGCAGTGTTAGATCTCTCTTGAGTGGAGAGCAGACATTCTGTGGTGTGAACTGATGTTGCATGTGTGATCTTGCAGTTTTCAGGGAATAAAGAAGTGCTGAATATAGCATGCAAATTTTTCCTTTTTAAATATTTTGGAGATTGTTTACCTTCTTTATAATTGGACTGTGAATGTATGTATGTTCACCACATCAACTGAAACTGCCTATATTCTATTTTTAGTTGATTTCTTAGTAAAGAAGGTGTAGCAGGTAGGAATAGAGTATCTTATTACACTATATTGTTACCCAGTTGACTTGAGTTTGCATGCACAGCCTGCAAAATGTGAAGAAGCCTGCCGTGACAGTTTCGGAAGAATGACACAATACAAAAAATCAACAATACTTTATTGCAGCTATGTAAGGGGAAAATCCCCTTCTGCTTTTATCTTTAAATCCTCAACAGAAGAAAGCTATTTCACCTGGCTCCACACCCGCGTAGTTAAAGTAAGGGCAGCCGCAGTTTCCCGCAGTTCTAGGATCAAGGTGCTGTCCTTCCAGTTTTTAGGTGTTGCTCTCTAAATAGAACTGAAATGTTACAATGTGTGTTGCAGTCTCAGGCTGCTAAGTAATTTCATTATGTTTAATTAGCAGGCAAAAAGCCACTGAGGGAATGCTTACTTCAAACAGGAGGAGGGTTAGACATGAAACAGCAGAAATGTTCAAGTCCACCTGTTGTCTAGAAAAGCTTCATATGTATGTAAAGAAATTTGTAAAAAAAGCTCCTCCACTTTTCCTAAATCAATGAAACCGTCCCTTACTCCTGCATGTTACAGGCAAAATTCACGTTTTTTTCATTACAAAGCATTTAAAAAATCTTTTTAATCAAGCAATATGAATTGTTGAACAGCTGTTGGGGGATTAAGAACAAATTATTCAAAAGATGTAACCCCATAGCATATCACTAATAAAGATGACATTGTTCAGTGGATACAACCAGGGCAGTTTTGTGAGCCAAAGCATGAAAATGCTGCCTGAAAAGACTGCAGATTGTCAGTAATTCCTCAAAAACAGATGTATTCCCTGTTTGACTTTACAAGCAGTTCGGGATTCTACTAAGTAATCTCCTGCCACTTGTAAATTAGCCAAATAGTTACTCTGGTGCTCAAATACATTGTTTTGATTTATATTTGTTTTCTGCTTTGTAGCCAGAAGACAAAGACACGCAAAACCATAGCGATGAATCACTTTCAGGTAATATGTCAGCTTTACTGTTCTACGTATTTTATTCCTAGAATTTCTTTGAAAGTACTTTTATTAAAAACTGCTATTTGTCATAACCAAGAACTGCCTGGGTAGTCAATGCTTGTGGAGCTCATTTCGTTACCAGTGTCATTTACAGCTTCCTCTTAGTTCTAAAGGGGGTGGTGATCAATAATGCGGACCATATGAAGTGGTTAAGTTGGGCTTTCCAAATACATCTAGTACATCCACCTTTGAAAGAAATTTGCAAACAGCTACCTGGAGAGAGCAGAAGCTGGCAGTGGGCTCTGGGGGCTTATCCCATAACTTTATGAGTTCAGCTGAGGGTGGGGGGATGTGCAGATGATACACAGTGTTAATCTAACAGTGAACAGAGTTCACTGTTAGTCTGTTAATCTAACAGTGAACAGAAAATTTCCTATTAGTAAAGAAGCTTGTCCTATCATGTAGCATCAGGATCATGCCATTAGGTGGATAGGTCATAATTTGCTCATCAGTATCTAACACAGGGCATCTTAGAAAAGCAGGATTCTTTATAATGCTTTTGATAGTCTGCACATGGTATCGCACAAGAAGCAGGTTGGTTTAGTTTTGTTTACCTATAACTATGCCCTGTGTTTTCTTTACCCCTTCTTCCTTGCTTCTATTGGAGGATAAAACTTACTCTGGCATCCTTGCAAAGCAAAATAAGATGAAATTCAGATAGGGTGTTCTCCTGCCCTTTGAGCTCAGCCAGAACTTTGATTGGATTACATTCATTTCGCCTTGTTTGTATAACTAAATCTTAGTATGAATGAAGCAAGCAAATTTTGTCTCACTTCAGCAAGAGTTTAGGGTGCACGAGAAGAACAGAATAGTTCATATTCGTATTTCTGTAGAGAGCAGCTGCAAGGCCTGTGGAATACCTGTGAGCAAAGATGTCGCCAGAATGTGTTTCCCCTTAACAGGGAATCTAAGCATTTGTATGAAGTTATGTGTCTGCAGCAGTGTTGTTGCTGCATGTCCTGACTTGTTGAAAACTTCAGAAGCTGTCTTTGGCCTGCTAAAAAGGCAAGCCAATGAGCAACGTTACAAAAATAACAATAGCCTGCTCTTCCCTTAAAACCAAAAAGCAAAGTGCATGCAGAAACTACATTCAACTGAGTTGCTTTTATCAGCACTAATATTCAGAATAAAAAAATCACAATTTGACAGTCTTTCTGGAATTTTCACACAATCTGACAGTAATTACTGCAAATGAAAAAACAAACAAACCAGCCTTAACAGATGCTGTTGTCTGTATGAGTAGGTGGCGCTGAGTACCAGATTTGCCCTTTGCCAGAGATACGGTTCAGGTCTCTTAGACCAGCACTGATCCAGCACTTGTAAATTGTGTGTCACTGTTTTCTGTTGTTGTTTTTAATCATTGTTTTGATTAATATCAGTTTTCTTATTGTAGTGTCCCTTTTTCAAAGAGGTTTATCCCAAATAGGACCAGTTACTTCCCTATTTCAAGCTGTACAATGAGGCTGGAGGGCAGAAGCTTTAGAAAGTGCTTCTAGGCTGTGTCCATTATCTACTACTCTTCGAACATACCAAATTCTCCCTGCCTTCAAAAAGGAGCAGGGAGAGTTAAGGTCATATCTGCAGCCAAAATGCTCAAGCAATGCCCTACACTACTGCAATGTTAAAGGTCTTAGTATTAGTATTTAACTAGAAGTATGACTAGAACTGGTTTCTACATGCTTTTATGGGTTATTAATATATAATATAGTCTGATAGCACCACTGTGATGGATGCTGGGGAGATATTGACTGTTGTGTGTGGGAGACCTCTAAATGGCAATTTTTAGTATTTGATACAGATTTTAGAATACATCGCCACCTACTTCCAGCAACTTGGTATTTTTATTTTTCTCACACATGGAGGAGTATGCACTTTATTCCTTCCCATAATGTACATTTAAAATAGGCTTGCTTGCTAGAACAGGGACAAATTTTATTGTAAGAGCCCTTACAAAGCAAAGGAACATTTCCACTTTTTCATTGTGTTAAAGTACTGGATGTTAGTTGTGTTTGCAGCTGTCAGCAGAGATTCTCCTGGTGCAAATATTTCATGTTGCTATGAAGGCAGTAGCTCAGAAGTGCAAAAGCTTTTCCTTCATCCTACAACACATGTATACAAGATGCACATAATCCTGTTGGTGATGTACGCAGGGGTTATGGCAGATTCAAGGAAGCGACGTAGTTCCCAAAACCAAAAAAGGCGATTATGCCAGCTCACACACTGGATCTAATTGCATGCCTTTTCTATAAATGTATAAATATGGTACTTTCAAAATTACTGCCCTTTTGATTATAGCCACTGAGCGTAGTGAAGAGAGAAGTCTGACAAAGTTAATTTCATGGGTACTTCCTAAGGAAAGGCATTACATGTCACTATTCTGACTTTTTCAGAAACGATTCACAGGAACATAATACTCTTCATCCCTTTGTGCTTTTAACTTTTTGTTCCCCGTGAAACCGTAGCAATAGATCCTAACTTCTCCCCATGTAATGGTTTTCACTGCAGATCTCAAGAAAACCTGCAAGGAAAATGGCACCTGCTCCTTGTGCTTATTCCGTGCACCGACCATCAGTGACATGCTCAATGATGAGGACTTGTTGTACACAGTGAGGCTAAAGCTGGATCCCTGCCACCCAACAGTGAAAAACTGGAGAAATTTAGCAAGCAAGTGGGGGATGACTTATGATGAATTGTGTTTCCTTGAACAGAAGCCCCAAAGTCCCACCTTGGAGTTCTTGCTACGGAATAGTGACAGGACTGTGGAGCAGCTGATTGATCTCTGTAAATTTTATAAGAGAATGGATGTTGTGAAAGTGCTGCTGAAATGGGTGGAAGAGGAATGGCCCAAGAGAGGGAACAGAACTTACCAGAATGACTTCTAGGCCAAAGAAACTTGTTAGTCCGTATGTGTTAAATGCTGGGACTAGCTGCCACTAGTACATGGGAGGTTTCCCTTGCAAGAGAGAGCAAGCCTGTACTGACGGTTTGTATACTGTGTAAGCTTTATGTACTGTATACACGTATATATGTTCTGTGCCCTCAGGGTTGCAAAGATAACCTTCCAAAAATGGATGGAATAATGCAGGTTGTGTTCTTGAGTCTACAAATGCCTTCAGTTTCTTTGCTGCTGTTCGTAGGCTTCCTAAGCAGAAGAGGAATGAAAAAGCCAGACCACTGGTTTTACTGCAGCAGTTGTGAACCATGTCAGTTGTGTGCTGTTGCTATTGGGAAAGCCACAATTAGAAGGCAAGTCTCTTGGCCTTTCTGGCAGCCCTTCCACAATTTTATATGTTCTACTTAGTAGAAGATGAGGGGTTATTTTTTTTCTTCCTTTTTTAATATTTTTTAACCTTTATGACACTGGTTTTGGCACAGGAACACCTCAGTGTTCCAAGCAGCAGTTTGGATTTGCATGTTACAATTAATTCAATGCTTCAACGTCACATTCAGGCAAATTAAGCTTTAAATCTCTCTTGTAAACAAGAATAGATGTTAAACAAAATAATTATTTGCATACTTCTACATCATAGGGCATATATTTGCTGTAGAAGAAATCGTGCAATTCAGAGAGACTTTCCAGCCCATAACCACTAGGGACCAAAAAAACCCATTAAAATGCTTTACACTTAAAATTACTTTCCCAAGTTTTGAAGACAACGTGCACTCTGACTGTACTGATCTGTTTCTCTCAAATGCCTCTTGCATTGCAGTGTAAGGTGACAGCTAATGCCTCCACCCACCGTATATCCTTAGTATTGAGTATAACTTCCCTTTTCACAGGCTGTGGTTTTGTTTACAGTCCTGTGGGTTGACCTGCTTTCTGTCCCATGCCAAAGTAGTTGCACACTTGTGTGAAACTAGCACAAGTTTATGTATTGATTAAAGCCACTCTAATGGGAAATTAACAGCTGAATTCATCTACAGTCCAGGTAGATGGTTATTAAAGCACTTATGGTGGTTTAGACTGATGTTTCTCAAAGAATTTTGATACTCTGAATTACACTGTTTACATTTAAAATATTTTAGAAATTGGTCTTTTTCCTACCATTCTTCTGTGTTCTAATGTTTTAAAAAAACTCCTGAAAAATCAGTTATACAATACAATGTATAAAGTACTTATAGCTATAATGCCACACACAAAAATGTTGTGACTTAAAAATACTTCTAGTTGTTACACTTACTAAAGGCATCTCAGATAATACTAATATGTACATAGGTGTATATACCAAAGCACTGGTGAACAGTATGTCAAGATGTGGGGCAAAACTAGAATGGGGTAGAGGTTGATGCACTGTTTACTTTTCTCGAGTAGAAATGACTAAGAGTTAGTAGTAAAGCTGAGGGAAGTCTAATGCTGTATACTGAGTTTCTTACTGTAAGAGAATGAAAAGGGACCTCTGGTAATACTATACTATAGATAATCAGCGATATGGTTACAGAGGAGGTAGAAGTAAAGACTAACATTTTCAATGTCAGGCACTAGTTCTGGGGTGACATAAATTATCTTTATTTTAGTGACTTCAAGAAGCTGAAGGTCTAGTTTCAAGGTGAAAAGACTGACCTAAATTTGAGGTTTGAATTTTTTCTTTTTTTAAAAGCTTGTGGAAGACTGGCATTTTTAATAACTTTTTTTAACCATTCCTCAAAAAAGCTACTACTCTTTAGAACAGTAAGTTTTCTAGCCATACTTTAAAGAGGAAATTGTACTGCTGTATCTTGTTGGGGCTGCAGTTCAAATGTTTCATGTTCCTTCTCTAGGAGCAGGGGTTTCCAATAGATGTCTGTCAACTCGAACTTGTGCAAATAATCTTCTGTCTTTAGTTAGGAGCTCTAGAATCAGCTTTGAAGACTACTGCAGTGGCTGGGCTGCCTGCTACTTTCAGTTCCTACAGAGGCATCCACTGCTTACGTGTAAACAGCTCATGATGCAGCTTGTCCAACATAATCCCCATACCTTGGACCTACTATATGCATGATTTAGGATCATGTGTCTGTGTATTAGGTTGTTCTGAATGATGAGTGCTGGCACGTCTGCCAACAGCTTTTCTCTCCCAGAATATATTACAGCTATATGTGTGGTATTATAGTATGCTCTGCTTTGGTAGATCCAGTCCAGCAAAGAGCTGGACCCCTCACCTAAGACTCATAATGGGAACATGAAATGATGCAGCAGCATTTCTAAATCAAGATGTTCAACTGAAATCTACCCTTTTTCCTGTTTTCTGGCTAAAACTTGTAAAATTTTGAAGAAACACTGCTGTCTTGTGGAAATGAGTTCTGATCCCTTGAAGCTCTTGAAAAGTCACCATCAGCTGCAAGGATTCATGTCTGATGGAAATAAAACTGCTTCTGAGAGTTCATGTGTGAATTCTGTATAAATTCAACACTGAAGGTTGAAAATGTTAGCCTTAAACTTCATCACACACTGGATTACTCATTCGTATACTTGAAATATTTTTTTCCTCTTTGTATGGCATGAATTGAGATGTACACACTTTTTTAGTTTTATATCTGTTTACAAAATATTGGGTCTGAGTGTTCAGTTTATTCTTATATCTTCTGTTATAATGTATACTATTTTTAGAAGAAATATAGATTGTCAATGTTTGACTTTATCGTATTTGTTTTTATTACAGCTAGGAAAGCAGCTGTTTTCCTTCTCACCAGTCACCTTGGAACCACTGAACTATCAACTAGTTGTGCTGTGTAAAAAAAAAAAACCATCTTATATACAAGATTTGTGGCATCTTAAAGCACCTATGTTTGCAACAGATACTGCTGTTCAAGAAAGGAAGATGCACTTTTATCTTTTCCATATGAAAAATGAGTTAATTTTGATAAGGTGATGAACAAAGCTGTTTACCTAGAAACTTGCAGCGGAGTTACTAACTATAGAGAGGTATGAAACCTACACTGGGTGAACTTTTCCCAAATTAATAACCAATCTGATAATGAAGGTTAGAGAATCACATGGACACTGAAAAGGCTCTACTAGATTATCAGTTTTGTCCCGTTATATCTTTCTCCTGTTGCCGTACAAGACCTGCTCTCCCTTCAGGGATTTCCAGTTCTTTGGCTGCCATCTCTCTGCCTGCAGGATAATCAGTGGCACTTCCCACCCCCTTTAGCTTCTATGAAGATGTCCAAACCACTATATGCTTTCATTCCTGCAGCTTTATCTAAGACATGGTGAGCCTAAGAACTGTTCTTCAACAGTAAAGGATGAGTCCTGTGCTCCAGGAGCCCCTAGTTTTGCTGTGAGGTCCACTGTGGGGCATCCCCAACAAAACGGTGACAGTATCCAGTTGCCTTACTTGCTGCATGCACTTCTCTCTGATCTGTGGAGAGGAGTGCAAGATGAGCCCATGGGGCTGTCCTGTGGAAGCCTACCATAAAAGATACGGTAGTCAGCATGGCCCCAGGAGCTTGCTTGGAAGTAAGTTGTACAGAAACCGTAAACCATACTTCTTTCTGAATCACTACTGAATAATGGAGAGCTGCAGCTCAGTCTGGGCAACGCTTCATGCAAGAGACTGCATATTTTTCACTGTCTCAAACTGACTGCCTCCCACAGTTCCAAGTCAAGCTGTTAGCAAGTGGAAAAAAATGTAAATTCTGCCTTATGGTGGTTTAAGTTAGGGTAACACTGTTGCCTTGTAGCCAGAGGTATTTTTTTGTCAGACAGCAGAATTGTTTAAACAAGGTCAAAGAAAGTGCATGGCATAATAATTTAAGGAGCAGCCTACTCCTGCAATTTTTGCAGCATATTGTGTTCTCTGTCCATGAAGGAAAAGCAATTAGTTATTCATAACTAATTTCAATACATCTTGTAAGTCTTAAGTTTTGGGTCAGTTTTGGACAGTAGGGCAGAGCGCCATTAAATGAGGACTTGGGCTTGTTGCCTGTTTTGACAGAAAAGTGTTTTTCCTTGCCCCTGAGCTCGGCTAGTCCTGATTGCTTGGCTATGGTCAGCTGTTAGCCTTAGCTGGGTAGGGAAGGTACGGATCTACCGGTCACACAGGCAGAATACGAGCAGCACTAAGAAGAATTTATTTGGAAAGATGGATTCTGTAGTATTTGTAAGCCTGTACCTTGGCCAAGGACTGGAACTGACTCCATCTTACAAGAAACTGATTGCAAAGAGGAGTTGACTGACTTGGAAAAGGCCTGCCTGTACCCTCGGGGAGGGGCAGGGGCAATTAAACAGCCGGGCAGACTTACTAGTTGATTTGATCTCTGTACTTTACCTTTGTAAAACAGTGTTCTTGATTTCAAAGGCAGGTCATTGGGGTAAATGTATATTTGTTGCTGTGGTAATGAGAATCTTGAATGTGAGAAAGATAAAGCAGTGCAAGTCTTGTTAGGATGGGATCAGCAAGGTTGGCTTTGGCCTTTTTGAACTCCGACATGAAAGAGTATTGGTGTGTTGTGTTTGTTCAGGCTTTGTTTACTGGCCTTCACAGTGCTATGAAGATGAGGATTAAAATTGGAGAAGAGATGAGAAAGAAGTAGCTTCTGTCAGCAATAATTAGTGAGAAGTAATGTCTATGGTGTTAACTTCCTCTTTCCTCTGATATATGTACAGAAATCCTTTTCTTGACTGAAAATCTTAGTTATTTACAGGAGCATCTTTCAACTTTTTTTTTTGAAAACTCCAGGAACAAGACCAAATGCATTAGTAACTTGGAGAATAAATGTGTTCTGTGTATCTGTGTAGAGCATGAGATAGATACGCAATTTATGTGTCTGCATAAAGGTGCTTTTTTTTTTATTATGAATTTGCTTCAAAATTACCCAATATTTAGTTTGGGAATGCTTTTTGTCTCAAAAAATAACCGAAGTTTCATGTTGTTGATGACATAAAGCAAATTTACACAATTAAAAGTTTCTTAATAGGAAGAGCCAGGATGAGAACAAGAAAGGGGCACCCATATCCCTACACTAGAATAATATCTTGAGTCTAAGCTGGTTTGTTTTTTTTTTCATGTTTGTGCCCAATATATATGAGCTTCCCCCACTCCTCTCAAGCTCCAGTTCATTCATGATCCCGTAAATAGTTTATTAGATTTTTTTGTCCTAATTTACTTTTGTCTCTACTTTCTCTGAAGCTGAGGCGTTCACCAACT